GCGGACACAACCTCACCCTTGTTCTTCGGATTTCCGCCGGCGTCCTGCAGAGCCGTGGTGTCGTCTTTCGGGTGTTTCTTCGTGACGCCGTCTGTATGCCAAGTAACGAGAGCGGGAAAATGTCAAATTCGCTTCCATGGGGGTAACGTAACGCGATAAAGATTATTCCACGCATCATCACCAGGCAACTGGTAAATGAGGAGCTGAAGCAGAGAGGGCCGTTGAGTATGGAGTAATATACATGTCGTGCGGACCAAGTAGCTTCCCTAAGCTCTACAGCAAATAGCAACAAAAACGCACCTTCAACCACCTCCGAAATGTCGAGCATAACGTGCTTGGCCTCTTGCGCGTAAGCCTTATCGTTGGACAAGCATATCTCGTACTCTCCCTTCTCAGCATCGAACTGAAGCATGCAGCATGGGATGAAACAAGCTTAAGAAGCATGCCGCGAGGCGGGAGAGCTGCGCAAGACTCTATTTCATTCTGCTCGCAGAAAAGGTGAGTCAACTTCTGTGAGCTGGTCAAGCTGTTTATTCCGCGGGACTATTCGCCCACTGACCCACATAGGGCTTCAGAGACACCCTTGGTCACTTACGCCCCTCGGTCGAATTTGTAACGTTCCGTGTGCGGCGGGACTGCAGCTTACTCGTGATGAGGTAAGTGAAAGCGGAAAGCCTGCTTTGGACTTTACTCATCTGCCCCAGCCTGACATACGTTATATCTAGAGCGTGCCCCACAACCCAAAAACCGAACCCCCGGTGTCCTACATCCTTCGACATTCAAGGCGCAAGGGGATGTGAGCGAACGCGCGCCGAAGCAGCTATTCATCAAGCTGGAACTGCTGTCTGGAAACCTCGAATCGGCCTGAAGTGTAGCCAAATATATGCGCGGGAGCTGCCGAGAGCGTTTGGGGAAATCCCCACAACTATTTCTAACAGTCTTCAAGAGTATATACAAGCCCGCAAGCATATGATCTGGACCGTCGCCGAAGCCTCCATCTTACTACAGATACACACACGCCTGTACAGCAGTGGGAGAACCTGCACAAAAAACCAGAAATAACTGCTGTCAAACCAACGTGCAAGACAAAAAGGCCCACCTTATAATCGTATCCTGAGAATTGTTCCGCCGAGTCGTCATTATCCTCAAGAATATTTTCCGATGTTATCTTTACTGATTTCCGGAGCTTCAACTGCGTTTTGCCATGTACTACATTCCCGCGATCATCGAGCTGAGATGGCCCGCGCACCTTGTGTCGAGGACAGGCACCAACGTCAAGCAAGGGAAACAGCACATCGTGCAGAATGAATGTACTTGCAACAAATGAAAACATGTAGGTACCTCCCACGAAGAGAACCACACGCATCTATGTCATTGATTACACTGCCGGATGCTCCCTTGTGACGCACACGCTCGCCCTCCGGTACACTCGGGGGTGGTAAAATATATTTGTATTCTACATTCTGATGGAGAGGCGGAGAACGCGGGTGTGCGGCGCAACCTGCTCACCGAAAACCCAATGTCGAGGTTCCCTCCCTTGAAAACGAACACCTGGAAATGAACAAAACAGGGAGAGGCTTGTCAGCAGATAATGTCAGTAGATAATGTCAGCAGGTAATACTTCCAGGAAGTGGGGCGTAGATAGTTACATAGCGTATACACGCAGTGTGGAGAGCGAGAACATCACACACCTTTGCTTGGAGCTTCGTCTCCTCCTCCACATAGCGGAAAAAACAGACTTGTGCATGCTCCTCAATTAGATACGTCGAGGCTGCAGTGGCTGACACACAACAGAGCAAGAAGAGCAGCACATGTGCACTTAATGCATTCATCGTGTGTGTGTCTACACGGCGAAAGCACTACATCCGAGGGGTAGCTGCCGCTGTGCTCGATGCCACGATTTCTGATTTCTCGGCTGCTTTTGCTCCAAATTGCTCCGCGTCTTTTTTCCCCTACCCCCCACGATGGTGAAAAACTCGCCCTCAAAAACCCAATCTCCAATATATCCGCACACAGGAACACGTGTTGTAGCTTGGGGCTTGGGGATGCGGTAGCGAGCACGCTCTCTTCTCACCGCGTGAACTGAAAACGATGCGCACCGCCTTTCGCGCGTTACCACTGCTGTTCGCTGTTTTTGTTTCCGAGGTGCTGGGTTTCGTGACGCACAGCAGCAGCAGCAGCAGCAGTACTTGTAGCAATGCCCGTAGACCCGCGAGATGTAGCACCAGGTTGAGCAACGATGATAGCGGCGAGGCTTTCGAGGAGGCCGCGGCAAAGCTCAGGAAGGAGGTCGCTGATCTTGAAAAGGAGCTGGCGAAAGGTCAGAACGCAGTTGGTGTGACGTGGGATCGAGATTTTTTTTTTTGTGAATGTACGTTTGGGTGTGGCGTGTACACGGAACGGTACAACTGCCAACTGCTGTTGTGTGCGTTCATATTCGGTGAACAGCAGCAAGGGTCTTGATATTCATATAAGGCGGTGGTGTGGTGGTGAATATAACCGCCTTGTATCGGGCAGCCGGTTTATTCGATCGTCGAGTGCAAGAGGATGGCCACGCACCGTGCACTGCTGTATGCACACATGTTATCGACCCTGGTCACTTCAGTCGTTTGAACCGAACACGTTCAGCAGCGGTACGTACATCCGATGCCAGTATATGCTCTTGTGTGCCGATGCGAGGAATAACGACTCTGTCACCTTGTGGAGAGTACAACTACTGTACAAACTAGTAGACAACAGGACGACCACGCAATTTGAAAAGAAAACGTGGCACACATCGAACCTAAATATTCTGCGTCGATGACGCTTGGCCCCTGGGTACGGGTCAAGCACTACTTGCTGCTTCTCCTGGCGTTTATCTCTGAAAATACATTCGCCTTCAAGAATCCTCCCATGCCCCACTGCCGCACGGATTTGATGCTCTTCGTGATACGTGTTGCTTTCACTTCAAGCCGGGCGGTGTATCCTTCACCCGCTCAGTTGCCTTATGTCAGAGAGGAACATGCACTTCATAGAGGGCTACTGATGCCAAAATGAGCATCGCCTGATATCGGGTTTGGGATCGATTCAATAGTTAAGCCTTGTACAGGACCGGACCCGGTATGACCGCCTTATACCGGGTCTGTGCTTTGGGAACAAATTTTGGCCGCGATGTATCGGGTATACCACATCGCCCCCCCCTGCTGCATGTGTTTCGTCAACGTCTACCTGTCGGGCATGCGCTGCTCATGAACCTTAACAACCGTTGCGTGGCTGCTCATCCCTGGCGTACTAAAGGCAAAAAGCAAGATGAAAACGTACCGCCAGAGACCGCTCCTGACCTGGAAATGTCACCTTCCCCGTTCAGCCTGGCACCGAGCCGCTGGCTGGTGATGATGGATATTGGCCGAGAGAAGGGGACTTGGATGCCCCAAAGTTGGGGTCGAAGCGGGAGGTATGTGCACGGCTCGAGGTCGAAAGGAAGCCGTCTGAAACGTTGCAACCGTGTCTATGTACCCAACGTACGTTCGGCGTTGGTGCAAAAGATGTGCTGTCCGAAGCAAGGCCGGCGGACATGAAATCCTTACTCAACCTGACTCACCCTCCCACTGTACCGACCTCACCCATGCTTGGATCGTATCTTCCGAAAAAGGAGAGTGGAAGTGGATTTGCTCGTGCAATTTTTACCAGGAGGAGATATGGAAGCGGACGTCGACAGCCCCTTCGTGGATATGACAGTGTCACCTGGAAAATGGAGCGTGGGCGCAGCACAGGGAAATCCTCGGCGGCGACCAACGAACTCCTTGGGTGAGAGTTCTGCCGTAGAATAGGGTGTGAGCTCGTGCTGACAATCGTGCTTGTGCCAGGGGCATTTTTTTGCATTTTGACTGCCATCGATCGTCGTGTTGATTTTTTCACCAGGAAGCCTTACGTCGGACTCTTGCCGGTTTTGGGTGGAGACGGACGGGTTCGGCAGGGGCGATGTAACGATTCCTGCCGGCCGGATCTATTTCGCCGTGCCGGCATGGGGTGGTAAACTGTCGCGTAAAGGGCTCGTGACTGTTCGCCAAAGGCGGTGAGATGGGTTGTGTTTGTTTATCGCACTTGCGTGGTGAATTTTAAGGTACATATTGATACCGGACGCGCTGTTTTTTTTTAGTGCGCTAAGTTCGTGAACATACGGCATAACTGTCGTCATCGTTCTCTGTTACCTTCGACGGTGTTTTCATTCAAACCTCGTTTCTCTTGTGTAAACCTGAATCCTTGCACGCGACTGTTCAAGTTGGTTGGTGCGCGAGGAGTCGCGTATTCTGGGAGTTTTCGGGACGGAGCTGCTTATTCCTGATGCTGAAGGGCGATTGCCACCAAGAACTCCTCGTCCTCGGACGCCCCCATTTCCGGATGGTTTCAGGGATGGTTGACACTTGATGTCGGAACGGATGACATCATCAAGCACACATTCGAGACATGCAGCATTATGATCATTGGTCTGAGTCTATTTTTGTTATGGGCGTCCTGCAGTGTCGTGGCACAAGGTATAGACACGTGTAGACAGCAGCTCAAATTCCCTTGAATCTATTGGAGGAACCTGCGGCACATGGATCTGCAACGTTGTCCTGTTTTTTTTGTTTTCCAATGAAGTGCTCTGTGATGTTATCAAGAATACCAGACACAGCAGGGGGCCAAATGAGGTGTTCTGGCGCCATCTGGGAGGCTTTAACTTCTTTCGGTCGACCAGACTCGCCACTTCACGCATGCAGTGGAAACGAAAACAGGGCATCACGTGTACTGCTAATGTCGAGAAAATCAAAGGTCAGAGCGGCCGTACAATGCTTTTCCGGTACCCTCGACGGTGAAACCGTGAAAACGTGAAAAAAAGAAAGATGGTTGGTTGTCGTGGTACCAATCAACAACAAATAGGATGTAGGAGGCTAGCCGGCAACGGGCGCTCAAACGAAACAAGCCCGGCAACAGCGCGGACATGGCAACAACCAATGGGGCGGGAGGGGGGCAGCAGACGGACGAGACGGCGAGGGAAGAAAGCACACGAGAAGAGGCGGACCGAGAAGCGCGACATGTGCCGTATTGAAGCCCTTGATTGACTAATCCCCCCCCCGCCATCACTGCACTTCTGTTGCACCAACCCCACGAGCGATGACGTGCCTTTGCTGTCTCGGGTGGCTTTGGTTGTTCTCTTGCGATCTGTGTTTGTTGTCGCTACGGTAGTGGTTGTGGCATGTGCCTTTCTGTTTCTCTTCCTCTGTTGGAATATGACTACCCCTCTGGCCCGCGATGTTTGCTTCCAGTCTAGGTTAACCTCGCATAGCGTGTAGAGGCGAGCGGAGGGTTCTAGGCTTTCTGTCGTTGATTTCTATGACTTGCGGACCCTTCGGGCTCATTTTTATTTTGGTAAATTAGTCTGTGGCCACGGGAATCGCCCGCGTCAAGTGTTAAGACTAGTACGGACAGATGAAGGTACTGGATCGAGAGATTGGTAAGGTCTTCAATGTGAAGTCACAACACAACAGTGTAATATAAACTTCAACTCTTCGACAATAACATTTAATCCAAACATGTAGGCAGAGACCGTTGCGGCCACGCGATAACTGATTCATCGTTTTCTTGATCAACTATCCCAGGGCGTGAGCTAAAGGTTGACTAACGTGGTGATTGGTGTTACCTCGTACAGAGCGGCTGGAAACCACGCATCGCTCTCCGTTGCTTGCAATATCGAGCGCTTCCATAGAATCACCCGCACACAAGCGATGACATGCGAAATTGTATGGAGAAACGAGCTTATTCGCCAAGCAGATGGCCATGTGTTTTCAACGCCCCCGCCCCTACCTGAAAATATGGATGCGTTGACCATCACTCAGTGGATAGCACTCACTGGCACGGTGCGACAAAAAATAACGATCATCAGCCCATGATTGCCCCGCGCCGTAATCTGTTATCTGTTCTCTGTAAGTTTTCGCCCTCCATACGAATCACTCAACATCCCGCGGGGCTTCGCGCTTGGTGGTGCAACACGGTCCTTCCGGATGCTTCTCGTCCCGGTTCGAAGCATGATATTGAGTACATACAGCCGTACCAGTTTAACTAACCTACATATCTACACCACATGTGTTTCAGGTTACCTCGGGCCAAACATAATCCGCTTATGCACTGCCTAACTTGTACAAGCACTAGTCTAACACCCCCCCCCTGAGCTCCCTAGACGATCCCGACTCTACGGTACAGGCTGAGGAATCCATGCCTCACAAAGCGCTCCGAGACGAACGGGATGAAGAAGGCACGCAGCGCCGGATCAGAGAACTCTGGGTCCAGCAACTTATGTGACAGAACCTACAAGGTCAATAACAAAAGCGCGATGCACACGTGTGGAGAGTGGGCAGCATTTCAATTTCAACGTCGCGTGTCCCCAAGGGAGCAATTCTCGACTGGAGTCTGGCTGGCTTCACTTGTTCTCGGTGAACGTTTGCGACAGCGCCCCAAGCGCGCCATTCGATCGAAACACAAATCATACAGCTGTATTTAAAACTCTGTAGCGCGGCACTTAATGGGGCTGATATTCCATCAGATACGTGTACGTGCAATGCTCAATGAGTAAGTGAACGGGTGCACGTTCACGTTTCTGCCAACAATTTCCACAAGTGCAGCGGGAATCTATCTCCTGATATTTTGTCAACGACATGTTCGAGAGGAAACCTCTTTAAGTTACAGGATAAATCTTACCGTATGCCACTGCTCCTTAGTCTTCAATATGTCCTGCATTGCCTGGGACGCGCGGGTGGAGTACTGGTCGTAGTCTCTGAACCGTGCAGCTAGAACGTAGTCACACTCATCTAGTGCGACAAACCTTGCGCAGGGGCGCACGCAGCGAATGGACACAAAGAGGGGTTGGGGAGGGGCGTACTCATCTTGCCCTTTTATATTTTCACCAATGATCACGCATGCGTCCAAGCGGAGGAGTACATACTCTGCCAATAGACAGACCGCCACCATCCTTAAACGTTTCTGCCTTACTCCTGACTAGGTAGTTCTTACTTGCCCATCTCCCTTCTTTTCCGGCGTTCTTAGTAAACTCGAGTACCGCTGCTTTCTCCTTTCGCCCAATGTCCCAAACTTATCGACACAACATCTACAATCGACGGCAACCTTTTCTGCCCTGTGTACACTTCCACACTTCCACATTTCGATGTATATGCTGGATGGATACTGGGGTAATATGACGGAGTCTACACGGAAGCTTAGTGATGCCCCATTGTCCTACTGCGGTCACTGCCCTAGTTCTTATCGCGATGTGAGTTCAGTCGTCATTTCCCTCGTCGAGTAGAAAACTCATATATTACTCGTTTTCCACCGCCGCAAATCGCAGGCAATCGAGCTCCAACCCACTCTTAATAGTACAGGGGTTCAGCAGGTCAACCACTAGTTCAACAAGTTAGCCACCGCCGGGGCGACCATTACGTTTTGGTATCTAAAACGAGAGATGTAGAGTAAGGCATCTGAACTCGACACTATACAGGACAACATTATAATAGCCTCATTGTTCTTTGCCCTCAATCGTGGATGCAAATTCTCATGATGATGTTGACAGGGGGGGGGCTAGGAGACTGGGTCGTGCGAGACGAAGAAAACACACCGTCGAGCGCTCTTGAGCTATTTTCCACAAATTTACCAATGGTTGCTGCCTTCATCGCTTTTTTCGTCTAAACAAACCATTCCACGGCAGAGTGGCGGCAACCACGACTTTGGTCGAAGTCAACAGCGCCTGACCGGCATTGAACAAGCTGCATCGAACAAAAAAGTAAGTGCGTTCTCACCTCTCCGCTTCTTCTACGTTGAGATCGTTGAAGGACTGCAGAGGTTCCGCCTTGGTGCCGTCGGTGGGCTGCGGCAGCAGAAAGGTGAAGGCTTCCAATGAAATGAAGGACGGAAAGCGACACTTGGATTCAATTGGTCACCGCACAACGAACATGGTTGTGGCGTACGTTGTAGCGTGTAATGAAGACAAAAAAAACGCATAACAAGGGCGGCGGACGCGGGGTGTTACCGCTCCCCTCACCTCCGGTTTAAGTGGATGTGTCCATACGAAACGTTAAATGTGAGGTGGCACTTGCAGCTTTCAAACGCGATACCAAGTGGGACGGACGGTGGTTGAGGTGGTGTACAGCAGAAAGTAACAAAGATGCAGCTTCGAAGTCGGAAGAAAGCGCTAAAGTCCTGTCGCGTTGTATAAGTAATTGCTCTTTGAAAACTTTGTAAAGCGTCAAGCCGGGCGTGCACATTAACACGACACCGCGATGATGTGTGCCAGCCTGTCGTCGTCCTTGTGCAACATTGGCTAACACCTATGTCTGTGGCTCTTGTGGGGCTCGAACAGCAGCTGTAGCATATGTTTCGCACACACATAACGTTTCCCCCATCATGTCGCACAAGAACACAGATGTTCCGAGTTCCGAGAGGAACAGTGAACTATCGGAATATCCGACAAATTACTATTCTTCACATTGTTGGGAAGAGATGTTTGCCCACTTTTGGTCGCACGCACATTGCAAGGTAGCAGTGTTGCACAGTAGTCCCCAACAGACGATGGTGTAGCATATGTACCATTTCGTAAGAAGTACACGAGGCAGACACACGTTGTTGCTTGTTTAGCTAGACTAGACATATGTTCCGAGTTCCGTGACAACTTTTAGTTCCCAAAAAACACAGAAAGTTCCGCCCAATCACCGCAGCGTTAACTGATAGTCTCAACCCAAGAGGTCAGAGGTGCTCATGCAGGTGCGAACACGTAGTTTGGAGCGGTTTCAACGGCGCGGAATATCGGGACCCGCACTATTGAGGGAAGGTCCTTGAAAAAATCTGGTATCTTAAAAGGGTAGTAGGCGAGGTTGTTGTGCCAAGGAACTTTTGCTGCGATTTATCGGGGAACCGCGCTAGTTGGGACCGCGATATGTCGGGATCATTACTGTATCCCAACCAATTCCAGACTCAGACTGCATGGGAGCAAGTGCAAAAACGAAAACTACGACGAGACCTCGTCCGCCTTTGGTTACGATCTATTGAACGATATCAAGCACTCGCGGATTAAGTCACGCGAGCTCTTGAGCCACTGCACGGTAGGTCTGTTGTTTCTTTATCACAGCCGCTAACACAGCAAAGAGCACGCGCAAGAAGCTCACCGCGAATGGCTGGGGAAGCTGTCCGTGGAAGTTAGACCTTAGGAAGCTGACTTCAATTTTCTCGCTGGGGATATAGAAGCTGCTGGGGTACCGATGCCACTCGCCCCCTACACAGAGCCGAACGGGCTGCATCATCTCGCTGGCCTGGAGATGTTGCGGGCCATCCCAGTAAGACCGAAACTCTCGGTAATATACAAACCTGGAGCAGCGGGACCACACAGTCAGTGAATAGAAGCTGACCTCTGGGTGCCATCCGTTGGAGAAAAACACCAAGTCCTTCAGCGAACTGCAGCCTGCAAGCATATGTGCTGTACTCAAGTGGTGGCGTTTGGTTGAGCTGAACACTTCACGTCCTATCTTACATTTACGCCAAGATATAAGTCGTTTCCGGAATCGTGTTAGGCGGCAGGGAGTGGCAGTCGCAGAGGCGACTTGTCGACAAGTTTCATGCTTGCCTCGAATGCTGCGTGGCAGCTGCGGTGCCCACTTCAAGATGAAAACCGCAACAAATATTGGACTCACTTGAAGACATTGCATGGAGTGTTGTGGAATCGAACGACGGCTGCAGTACGGCACATGCCGAGGCACGCTGCAAACAGCACACCTGCTCGATCAAAGGGAAACGAAAAGGTCGAACAGGTCACGACAAGACCATGAGCAGCGAGGTGAAGTGCACTTACCTTGGTGGCTTGTGTGTCAAGCCAAGCACGAATTAGCTCAACCGACCACACGGGATTTGGATATCAGTGCCAGGTATCTCGCCAAAAATTAACTAGAACATGGACAAAACCCAAACGCATCGGACAGTTGCTCTGAAACTCATGACACGATCGATTTTGAGATTTCCTAACTGCGTACATGCCATGGCCATCGCCTGCGGTAGGAGCTTCCTGTCCGCCCGTGCGTCGTCACGAAACTTCTCCACGAGCTCACTAGCAGCCTGTTCAAAGACAGAACAATACTCATGATGGTAAGCATGGGGCATCTCGTTGCCACGCAATACGCAATTGGTGTGTTCTACGCCAAACAGAATACACCCAACCATACTACAGCCCAGATCATTCTAACGTGAGAGAGCACGAGCAAAGGACACCTTCCAAAGGGCCGAAGCCCGAACTGCCCGAGTGTTGTTGTAGTCTTACCTGCACGATGATGTCTAGCGTGCATGCTGCCGCAAGAAAAATGGAAGGGTAGACCGGATAGAGAAAACGTTCCTCCTGTAACGACGGTGGGTCCACGATGGATGCAATGGGTACCGCGGCTTGGCAAGGGAATCTGGCGACAGTGACAGCCAAGTGATTCGGACGAGTGACTTTTGTCAGACCATCCCTCGTATTGCATCAGTGTGGATGGACCCAGAAAATTACCCGTCATCATCTGTCAATCGGTGAGAGATACACTTGTGATGGAGTGTCAGGCATCACGAATAGAGTCTTGTACACCAAGGCCAACCAATACATCAAATCAAGCACGTTGTACACCAAAGTGTAGAAATCCATCGCAACTATTAATCGAAACCGCCGAACGGGGAGGGGGGTGTACTCATAGTCGTGCACGCCGTAGTCGTTAGACCATTGACCTCGCGTCCCTACAAAGCCGGGACGGAGCACGCCAGGTTCTCACCGGACCAGGCTCTCACATCACCAAGCGCGAAGCGCCGTGAGATATTCGGCGAGTCGCATGAAGGGTGCGCTGCATCCTGCTATGGGTGTTCGGCATCTTGTGCTTACTTCCTTGCGTACGGATGACAGCTGCGTATGACTTAATTTATTTTCTGGTGCTCTCACTTCCAGAGACAGTTTTAAGCACTGGGTAACTGCCTCGAGGGTGCTTTGACCATTTTAACACAACGTGGTGCGATCATCCCCCTTGCGAGTGAGGCTTCTCCACCCCGCACAACATGATCTACTCGACCACCATTATGGTTACCGCCAAAAACAATAGAGGTAAAAAAAAACCGGTAACCTGGTTGCCGAGCTCACGAAGTGACTTGGCTTGTTTTACAACGTCGGTGCCAAGCGACGACAAACCCAACCCCGATGGCAAACACCGCCGGGGGGGCTTGTTTTACAACATCGTTGCCAAGCGACGAAAACTCAACCCCGATGGCAAACACCGGGGGGAGGCCGAACGGGGGCACTTCAATTTACCTTGTGAGGCTTGGAGAACATGATTGCAAGCCACAGCAGCCCTGGGGAACACATGAGTAGCTTCTGCCTCAGTTCTGACTTCGCAACCTGAACAACGTACCAGGGGCAAAGTCCATCAAATGCCATCATGCGCTACGTCAATTGGGGCAGAGGGTTGCAAGGCCATGGCAGATGCAAGGCACCTACGCGTCAGGGGATTCATTCATCACAAAACGCCTCGACAAACGTGCGCTTGTGTTAGGTTGTGTTCGACAATGCCTTGCCACAAGGGCGGGGTGTGGATGGTTCGGTATGTGAACATGTAAATCAAGGAGGGTGCGGCGTGGATGGTTTGGTACGCTAATATGGAAATCCAATCAAACGATCGTTACAGCGACTATACAACAGAAAACACTGCTGAGCTGCATGATGAATGCTGCAACGCCACACTAGCCCTACCGTTCACCACAAGCTCATGATCCCTCTTGTCTGCTCACCTTGTCGGCCATGGGGTACAGAGGCAAGGCTAGGAGGGGGAGCACCACAGCGAGAGGGAAGGCCACGGAGGTGTTCAAGAAGAGATTCTTCACGTAGTACGATGCTGGCTCTACGCCATAAAGCTCGTCACCTCGGCCCTCGCCGGCGTCCAAAACGTTGTACCGTCTGCCATGGGACGGGAACACAGCGAGAACAGAAGAACTCCTCGAACGCAAGAGACGGCTGACACGGAGAGAGGGCATGTCACTCCAAACCTTACACCGAAAAGAAAAAGCAAACGCGAATCGAGCCGGAACGAGCAACAGAAAACCGTTGCAAATTGCATGCGGTCTCCAAAACTAAACAAACTTACAAGATATTGAAGGTTGGGGAGGTGGTCCGACCGTACCAGCCACTATCAATCCAAGTCGCCAAGCTTGCGATGGCGACTGCGCAAATCACGGCCCACGTAGCCGACGCGGTTGCCGCCCCAAGACCCTCGGCGAACGATGTCCCTCGCCTCAGACGTAACCAAGCGCAGTTAAGCAGCATCGGAATGAAGATTACACCAACGAACGGCCAGCCCGTACCGAACACGCACAGCATGGCCACCAAAATCTGGGCATATAAATTACCGTTGTGAAAACACACGGGTAAAAAATTGGGATTTGGCCGGGGGGTTCACGTCACACGTCACATGAGAAGCAAGTTGCAACAACGAGCCAACGAGCCAACGAACGAACAAGCGTTACATTGTTCATGGCAATGGTCCTTTACTGGATGTGATGCTCCGTGAACATCAAAACAAGCAGCACGGGTTGAGGAAGGGGCACTCCAGTTGACAGCTCGAACCTAGTCCGATTAGGATTCGCGGCGAGCAGCACAAAAAATGGCGGCCTACCGCACGGCTGAACTGCCCCTGGAGCCACATCGCCATGACAAGCATGAAGAGCGTCATGCTTGATGACGATGGGAGAAGTGCCGGGGCAGAGACGAACATGCCAGCAGACGTGGCGGACAAGAGGAGGAAGAAGCCTCCTGCACGCCTGAAGATAAAGACGAGCACAAGTGAGTAAATGGAGCGCGCCACGTCAAGTGGTGGAAGGACAGCCCGAGTAACAAACTTATCCAAATGAATTTTCGACTCAACTGCTGGATTCGGCTAGGCACGAATAGGCAACACAAAACTTGGAAGGCGCATTCTTAAGGGTAAGGTACGCTACGGAACACGCCCGCCACAGCCGCCGCAAACACTCCGTGCTTACCTTCCGAACTTTTGCTTGACGGCCAGGTACATCAGCACCTCGCACAACGTGCAGCACAAAACATGAAACAGCCTCACTCCCAGCCAGATCTGCGAGATAACAAACGAGGAGACCACAGTTCGTATTTGTCGATGGCACACGGCGGGTGTGTTGACACGCCGGAGCACCAGGGATATCACAAACGAATGGCCTATGGATAAGGCTGATTGCCGCCAAAGACTATAACTGCAAGTTTAGAACAGCCCAAAGAAATCAGGCAACGTGCGGCTATGAAGAGGAGAAGCAAAAAAAAAACGCGTGAAAACCGGAGTCCTACCTATATATCCTGTGCATCTACATACCCCGGAAGGTATGCTTGCGCGCTACGCGGAGCAATTCTACCTGCGGTTTGTCGTTCCCTTGGCCAAATAAGGACAAAAATATCTCCGATGCCCTCGCCGCAGTTACAGAAGGTAGCAGGTAGAAATAACTTCTCAGGGCAAACTGAGGCGCGTACTCCCTGCCAAACGATACGGCAGTCATCGTTAGTTGTTGTACGAAATTAAGATACGAGTCAATATTTATACTAATCACGACACTGATGCGGGAGACTAAGGGTGGCATATTGTTGGGAACATGCTTCGACCAAGATAGGACAGGCAAGCCTCGAGGATACGTTCCATACCCTGCTCGGCTGGCTAATCTACTTCTAGGTGTACTTGCCTAGAGCCCAACCCGCCTCAGACGCCGACCCCTGAAGGAAACAAGGTTCTCAACCAAGCTGCGCTGTCTTACTGCCTGCAAGAAATGCTTAACCCAACACTACAAGACGGGACCAACTACCGAATGATATTCGAGCTTGAAGCATGAGAGTAAGGACGATGGATGCCTTTTGGTGCGCTCATGCGATGGTTCTGCCCCATTATGCGCACCATGTCTGAAACCCAAAGCCGTATAGAAGGTAGTGAAGCGGCTCCCAGTAGTTGTAGGTTTCATCGCAATCGCCAACGCACGTGGTTCCGGCCGACAGCAAACGGATGAGAAGGACAAATGCCGTCGCCATTGCTGCAGAGGGAGCCCTGCGGCAGCAGTACCGGCATCCATTTGATAATGAGGCGTGTGCGGAACCTCCTTGAGGTTGTGGATGAAGATGAAGGTCTGGTACCTGTATGGGGTGAATGACACTTGAGGTTGTTCTCGGGATGGAACCAGGGCATGAACTATTGCTATTCCTCCGGCGCAAGCATCAAACCTATATTGTGCTGTACGCTATACCCATGACTATCACAACCGTGTGCCGCTGGGGTTTATCTCTGCTCCTTGTCGCTGATATTCGATCCTGCGCCGATCGGTCGTCGTTGCAAGTCCGCTGCCGGGGTGAAGCAAGGCTGACGCAAGCCATACGAACGCAAACACCAATGCCTCATTCAAGGCAAGCAAGCAAGAGTACCGCGAAGAGCAGTGATGCTAGGGGGGGTAGAGGGAGGTTGTGCACCTTCAACACTCACCATACCATGTCTCCCACATTGGTTCCACGTTCAGACCCCACGATCGCCTCAGCTTCTGGGACAGGGTAAGGAGAGGCAGCACTGCTGTCAACATTGTCTCGTCGAAGTTGATCGGTCATTCGTATTCGCAACTGATAGATGCTCACCACGGCAGCAGAAGCAACACAACACCTTCACGTGACCGCTTTGGCGTTGTTCAAGTGACTGTTGGGCGCTGTTCAAGAGTATGTAAGGCACCCAATGTTTCAGGCACGGAGAAGTGAACTAACGTGGGTGTTGCCCGGCAGGCGTCTTGGGTTCGCGAGACTCGCCATCTGTACAGCAGCACCATATGCACAGCGTCATGACTTCGCGCGTCCAATATTATCATGGTCCGGTTGTGGCACGTGTGAATGCACACTAGTTTGTCTTTTCCTAAACGATAGATACGGAATCCAACCCAGTACATGTACTTCCACACAGCCGTGGCAGTCGTCAAAACAATACATGTTATCAACGACGCCTCCCAAAGGCACGTTGGCTAATACTCCAGTAGGATGCATTGGAGGTAACTGCGACCTGTGCTATCCCGTTGATTCATGAAAACTATGCAACAATGCAACTTTGGCGTCGGAGTGATGACGTCCACAACGTTTTTTAATTGTGAAGACAACAGTGGTGGGTGGTGGAGAGCAGGGCACTATTCGTCTATGTATCGATGCGTATACACTGGTGTATGTACAGTACTGCTGCTGTAGGTGTGTAGGTGCCTGCAGCAGCACATGTTTTACATTCGGAACGAAATCCGTTCAGTGTGGTTCTGTGCTATCTCGAGCGGTAGACGCAGTGTAGCTTCGGTTCTCCGGCACATCAGTCTGATTGCCTTGTGTCCTTATTCCAAAATCGATTTCTACATAGCAACGTCGAGTGGTTTCGTTCCGAACATTCGGAGATGAAGTGCGTGGTTCGCGCAATAGGACGGCGGTCAACACACACGCCTGGGGCGGATGGTCAACAGCAGTATACAGATAGCGCCCGCACCTGGGAACTTGGCAGTTAAGAAATTGAGACTCGAAAAAAATCAGAAGCTAAGAACTTGAGCACTATTTGTGAGCCCAGTTAAGAACTCCTTCACTAAAACCTATAAAGTAGCGATTTGTAGCCCACAAGAGGATGATCGGCAACACAAGACCCCCAGCCTTGGCCGAAACTGGAGGTTCTTAAGTGCGGACGCCATCTGTACTGCTGTATAAATAGTATCGGGAGAACCGCTCGTGTTCCGATTCACTCGAGTTGCGTCGTTTGCGAAAACCATTGCACTACGCATAGAGTGTGATACCTGCATCATTTTCGCCACGACCGCCGCTATCACCGTCACCCTCTGTTCGGTCTCGAGGAGCTCTGCGCCTCGGTTTTCCCATGATGGTGCTTCCGTGTAGGTTGTATGTACTACTCTGCTTTGTCTTGGGTCTGCCTGGTCTTGCCGTCGGGGGGCTCCGTGTATAAAGCAGTGCGGGGACTCGGCGAGAAACTAGCCCTCTGTCTGTCTCTGGTGCGTGTCCTCCCCCCAGGCTTGAGGTGATGGCTTCTCACAACACAGCTAACCCGCGTTCAAATTCTCTTCCAATATGGGGGATCAGTACTACGTCGACGAGTATGATGAGGAGCCAGACATGGATGAGCTCAAGGACTACATGTCGCCGGATGAAGGAGATGGAGATCTTGCAGGCTTCGAAAGGCCAGAACTGAATGTCGACCTCTCGACGGCTGTCGTCGTTTCCAACCTTCCCCAGGTGCGTTTTCATGTGCATAATCCCCGTGCATCCGTTTCTCTTGCTACGCTGCTGCTACAACAAATGTACCAGCTTGATCTATTGTGAACGATGCATGGCAAGCTACTCGTGTTTGTGCATTCGTTGATGTGAAACCTTGCGTCGCGTACACTTGCACAACGTACATCGTCCACATATTTTTGCACCGCTTTTACAACCTTTGCTGTGGCCCGATCGTGCCCTCCGAGTTGATTGTGTGCAGCAGTAGGGTACTTGCTATACAGGTAGCGCGAGAAGTGATCAGGAGAACTTATCCCAGCCTGTTGCGCCGCTATTGCTGCGGATATTCCATTGCAGGTGGTGGAAGCAAAGCACGAGAAACTTGGCGGCGTGGTAAGGAAGGTGTTCAGCAGAATGGGCACTATCGCGGACGACGGGCTGACACACCCGTTTGACAAAACGACAGGGCTGACGAAGGGCTTCGCCTTTGTCAACTTCCTCAACCCGCAAGATGCGAAGCAGGCTGCAGCCACATTGAATGGGTGGCAACTGGATAAGAGCCACCTCATTAAGGTACCCTCAAGTATATTACATGACAATAAAGTTATACGTGTAGTCTATGCTTCAATTTCTCAAGGCGGACAAACCAGTCACACATCCCCTTCGACTGTGGTAATATCTCGAATCGCTCAGTCTTTCTGTGTTTGTGATCATGTTTCCTAACACGCATCCTTGAGGTACACCAGCAGCATCGTGCTATCTCTCACCTTCTTTTGCGCACGAACTGGCCTGTGCCTCGGTTCTGCTTCATTTGCACAACAACAATTACCCGACGACCATTGATTACCGGATTGGATTCTGCTACAACATGGATTGTTCTTGGGCAAAAAAACCGTGGACCCTCATCTTCCCTAGAAGTGTCGATACTCCTGCTGTAATGCTGCGAGTAACCAGTACAGCAGTGACGGTGCCGAAAATGGCGGACTTGGAACCGTCCCGTCGAGAGCTTTCCGAACACGTACAAGTATCGTTTACCTCCGGCATCCACGTGGTCGTGGAGAAATCGAGCTTTTGAGTTTTTTTTTCCCCAAAATCATGGGGGTGTGGTAACTTCGCACTCTACGGTAGACTACGATCTTAGACTACGCACTTATTTTCCAAATCAACATTGGAGAAGTATAGGGTCTGCGTACCCCCTGCCTGGTCTTTTTTGGTGAAACCCTTGTTTGCTTTGCGTAGGCAATTTTATGTATTTGAGATTAATTATAATTTTTGCCATGTTCAAAAAAGCAAGCGTGGTGCATACGTTCTCTCGAGGCCGCTAATGTTGCAGTAGGTCCCGATGTCTGGCAATACTTTAGACGTGAGAGCTGAGACTGGTCGATGAGCTCATATCACCATTAACGAACATGGAAAGCATTGGTGTACACATGTTCTTCGACAGAGCAAGGTGCCCAACCGCCGTTTAATCTCAGATAACATCGATGTGATTCTTGACACTGTTGCTCCTACCTGCTTGGGCCGTTACAGGTATTCCCTTTCGAGCAGCTGGCACGACTCAGGAGCTTGCCAGAGGAATACGAATCCCCCGAGCCAAAGCCATTCAAACCCAGGGTGGACCCATCTAGCTGGCTGGCGGACGAGCAACACAGGGACCAATTCGTGCTGAGATACGGCGAGTCCCACTCCTCGAGGGGGAAGAAGCTGGTGAGGGCGCGTTCCACTTGAGCAACACGCCAAATCGTAATGTCGAGCGGCGATCCTCGCTGGGCTATCGTGGTCGAATCGAAAAGTTCCACACTCCACACACATCTTCGTGGGCAGGCATTCAAGTCGGTTTTCATTGCTGATATTGCCGTGCCCACGACGTGGTCGATAGGTACACGAGGCGGAGGTCATGTGGTCCGAGAAGCTGCAGACGCCCACGCTGTGCTACGGCGGGGAGAGGGAGAAAGAGGCCGGCAAGGCATGGTAAGCGATGCCGTGGTGGTGCTTCGCAAACCATTTTCAATCAACTATTCGGCGATCGCCACACGTCGTTACCGTACACTGCTATCTCATTGAGTGTCTCTCGAGTGGGGCACGGCCACAATTTCTGCAGTTGTCAATGTTAACACGCGTATACTGGTACAAGTAGAGCCTCCAAGTAGAGGCCCGACCTACCTAGGTACGAGCGCAATTTTCAGGGCCAGATCACGATACACTGGTACTATATTTGGTCAACCATGTCAGGTGTAAGAGGTTTCCTCATCGGTTTTGGTATGAATCGGTTGTTTATCATGATGTCGACGCTCACGACCTTCCTCATTCTATGCACATGCGCGCCTGTAGGTGCGAGCTTTTCCTTATGTGGTCTCCGCAAGGCACATACCTCACCACATTCCACGTCCCCGGAATCGCACTGTGGGGTGGCGAGCGGTTCGAGAAACAAGGGCGGTTCCCCCACAAGGACGTGAAGGTGTGTACGCTTATGAGATAAGCCCGAAAAAATATCAATCGCGATCAATCATCAGCGGGTCGACCCCCAAGTTTGGTGAACGTTGAATACGCATGACTCACAATTCTGGCCTCGAGATTGAGTTTTTCAGACCAAGAAATTGTCCGTGGTCGTTAGTCCAGATTGTTTTTTGCCAGTTCAAAATAGCCCATCGCTCTTACAGCAGATGGTATACGTCACCGACACTCTGCAGAACTCAGCTCCACTTCATGATCAACATCCAAGCGTAGCAAGTGCTCTGCAGTTTGACCCAAACCTGCTGGTTCCACGAGAACACGCTCAAGCCCTCTCGGGACCAAGGCATTGAAGATAAACAAAGCTGAGAGCTTTCGATATTGGGTGTGAGCATGGCTGTGCACCGGATCGCCCGTGGCAGCTTGTGGACGACACGGGTGAACTAAGGCTCGTGTGATTTGTTCATCATCCTTCATTTGTGGATTTTCAAGATGCATGTGGCCCGTTTTGAAGCAACAGACGTCGATATAGCTCCGGTGCGACTGCCTATTCCAGCCTCTGGGTGTGGGCTTCGCACATTAGCTTCCATTGAGTGTGGGCTTCGCACTCTGGCTTCACCGCAGGCTAGTTGTTGTCCTCGAGAGCCTTCGTGTGCGTGTCCCATCTTGTCTCCGGTGGGCTCCGACGAGGTACCAGGAACTCTTAAGAAAATACCCACTCGTTTTCTATCGACCATGTTTATTTTGGGCGATCATCTCTAGAACTTTTACCCATGAGAGCCTACACGGGAGCAGCTGCCCCTCAACCACGACGCCTTGAATTAGGGTGCGGTTTTCGTGTTGTGTGCGCAGAAACCGAGGTGAAATCACAAAGAGTAGATCGTCGAGTCCAAGGGAGAACAATAACAATCGAGCAACAGGCCGAAACGCTCCAGAAAACCTATGTTCTTGGTCCGAGAAGAGGGAGAGAGAATGTGTTCATGGTGAATCCTAGATTACGTTCTCTTTACTGGGTATCGTGCAGTATGAAGGATAAGCTCTGCAACTGGAGCCAAGTACTTACTCCCAGTTTCTTGCTCTATTTTCAGTACAAAAACATTCGGCCACCGAGTCACAAAATCCCAAGAACAAAGTTCGGATGGTCGCTAGCCGTATTTTCTTGATCAGGAGCGGTGTAATATCGAGGTCGAACTTTTTGTGCCTTGATGTGTAACGGTCAAACTCGTCGACCAACGCACCACAGGTGGTTGAATTTTCGCCTTGTGAGACATACGTCATGACGTGCAACTTCGAGCAAGGAGATAAGGCCATCATCGTGTGGGAAGTTCTCACCGGCCAGATGCTCCGCGCGTTCCCGATGGCAACGACTACTGCAGCAGGTGTGGAACGAAAAAAAGTGGATTTCGAGCAGGAACATCCCATTTCATGCGTGAACACACCAGAGCAATAAATCATGGTAGGATCGAGAGCTAGCATCGCCGTTTGCTCGCTTTTGGATGATGACGCCAAGAAGAAATTGGTCACACGAAGCATGCTCGGAGCGCGTGCTTGTGGATTGGGCGATGTAATTCTGTAAGTGCTGTGTTCATGTTCGTGTGTGTTTTCATGCTTATTTGGCGCCAGTGTAAGACTTTCGGTATTTGTTTGATGCGTCAGCCGGGTTGCGCCGGAGGCGGGTAAATGCTGTTGGTTGTTTACTTTTATCGCCGCTCCCCCTGCGGTGCTTGGGCTTTTGTTTCAATGCGACAAGGGTTGCGCGTTTGCTTCCGTTTTGGGTGTTTTGCCAAAACTAGGTTACGAAGTATTAAATTCCAAAGCCGGTCGCCCCGGTGGTCTAGGTGGTATTCCCAGAACCTCCTTGAGGCCAGAGGGAAAAGAGTGCTGAACTCTTGTCCCATTGAAAATCGAAGGCAAAGTACCGCAGGAGGGGAGGGTAGAGAGGGGCCTCTCTGTTTTTTTTGTTTTTGTTTTGTTTTTCTCCCATCATTGGACTCTGTCGTCTGCCCCTCTGGCCCCTATCCTCCACTTCTACCAGCTAGACGACCCTACCGGGGTCACATAGGAGGTGGGGGTTGGACCCCCTCCTGCGGTTCATGCCTGAGATATTTTTTTGGCGAGAAGGGTACAGCAACCCCTTCCCGCGCGACTTATGAAGTCGGTCAAGTTACTAACAACGAGCTTTGCAACGCGTCGCTTCCAACGGAGACCAGGATTNTCTCTGTTTTTTTTGTTTTTGTTTTGTTTTTCTCCCATCATTGGACTCTGTCGTCTGCCCCTCTGGCCCCTATCCTCCACTTCTACTAGCTAGACGACCCAACCGGGGTCACATAGGAGGGGGGGGNTCGAACCCATCACCTGGCCCTTAGCAGGCTGCGAGGCTACCCACTAGACCACCGGGGCGACGGTGTGACCATGGGTTGGAGTAAACGGCACCAGTGCTGTGAGCGCTGATTTGAAGTGAAGACAAAAAAAAAAAAAACGATTAGGTTTGAACGCGAAACTAGAGATTACGATCTGAACCACGGAGCGTCCAGCTGTTGGGTTACTGTATTCCGCTTGATTTGTATCGTCGGGGTGGTTAGTGACGACGGTAATTATTAGTTTCGCGACCTTGAAGTGAAGGGCAGGAGGCACTGGATAGAGGTTGGCACAAATTTTGACGTGTGAAGCAACAGCTGTGCTTGGTTGTATGCATATCAAGCTTGTAGAAGGTCAACGCCCGTCTCGGTCGTAATGTCGGTGCACTCTCTCCACGCACTGTGTACCCCAAATGATCCTGACCTTGTTTTACTCGTTTTTGTCCGTCGAAGATGGGGCTGCGTCTCTGTTCCGGTGGAGTGCCGATGGTAAGTACTTGGCGCGCAAGGGCAAGGACCTAATCTCCATCTACGAGCTCCCATCCATGCGCCTCCTCGACAAGAAGTCGTTGAAGGTAAAGTACGAGGCTCTTGGTTGCCGCGTTATCCTTCCGCAAGTTGCTCCAACACGTTGGTCCGAGCGCTTTGATCTGATCAACGCATGAGCTGAATGAATGTCCGGACCCGCCTTACCGGCAACTGGTTCTAATTTCTTCTCTGGCAGGCAGAGGGTGTATCGGACTTCGAATGGAGTCCTAAGGACAACGTGCTGGCGTACTGGGCACCAGAGCAGGCCAACGCCCCGGCGCGAGTTTCGGTGGTCGAAATACCTTCTCGGAAAGAGCTTCGCCAAAAGAATTTGGTGATGGTCAGCGAGTGCCGCCTGCACTGGCAGGTAATCACGCGGCTTGTTAGCCCGTTGACTCAGTTCTCGTCGACTATCGTCATCGGTCGACAAGCTAAGGCTTGCGAAGGACAGCGCTAGAGCAAACGATTAAGGGTACCGGAAAAGCTGCTCGTCCAGACTCTTGACCCACCACTTGTCAGCGAGCAATCATAATCTTTCTCCTGCCGCGTCCATACGACAAAATACAATGCCTCTTGAATATCCCGATTTTGACGGCAAATTGTATGGGTAAGTTCCGCTTGTTTGTCAGGTGCGCGTATCATGACTAGCATCTAGCAGAGCAGCAATTCCGCACGGTGCGTACGGTTGCCTCGTGCACATTGGGCACATGAAGCAGGTCTGATGCGCCTTTTTGCTAACACGTCCTTGTGCATGGCGTATTGCTGCTTCTTCAGGATGAAGGAGACTACTTATGCGTAAAAGTGCTTCGCCACTCGAAGTCGAAGAAGACGATGGTGAGACCATGTCAACAAACTGGTTCCGTGTTGCCATTGGTAGTATTTCCATCTTCCGCGGCTCTCGGAATTCGGTGTTGCTGATATTGCTGCATTTGGGATGTCATGGAACTTCCGCAACTATGCACATATAGACAGAGATTGGCAATAGCAACTGTTTTGCGTTCTTTTCGAAAATCATGACGTAAACGATGCCGATCGTGCCACCAACTATTTGGTCTGTCTTTGATGCGTGGCCTCTACCGCTTTCCACGTGCGAAGTACAACAACTTCGAGATCTTCCGTGTGCGGGAGCCGCTCGTCCCGGTGGAGACCATGGAGAAGAAGCAACAGGTGGCGGCGTTCGCGTGGGAGCCAGCTGGTGATCGGTTTGCACTGGTTCTGGGAGATGTGCCCAAGCTGGAGGTCACCTTCTACACAATGAAGGTTCGGGCGTTCAATGTAGAAGCCAACTGGTACCCCCTGGCTTGTTGTATGTATCAATGATATACTTTTCACACACGCCCTTCTTCCATCCGTTTTGATTTTCAGGGGGGCGCGGGCAAGAACGAACTCCAAGTGCTCGAAACCCTTCAAGATAGGCCCTTTAACCACATCTACTGGTCGCCGGTGGGAAATATCTGCATTCTGGCTGCTATGGGGGATGACGTGGGGCCTCACAACGGTCGGCTGGAGGTAAGGTGTTTTATACTGTTGTGGACTTGCCGTCAACAAAACGGTAAAAACAAAACTCTGCTCTCGAGCGTAGGTGTCATGTAAAATATTTGGCAACCAGACTGCGCGTTGCTATCCCATTAACGAAGCGGTCGGACCAGCCCCAGTTTTAATGGTGTCCCTGATGCATCTGTTGCTGTTTCCTGTCAATTGGTCTTATCGCGAATCGGCAGTTCTACGACGTGGAGAACCAGTCAACTCTGAAGCAGACCGAGCACTTCAGGTGTAACTACATCGAGTGGGATCCTTCAGGCAGATACGCATGCACCGCTGTATCACAGCCTGTGACTGGTGGCCACTGGAAAGCTCAAATGGACAACGGCTACCAGCTCTTCTCCTTCCAGGTATGCATGAGTAAGATCGGTCAGAGTCATACTGGGTATTTTTTTTGCGGAACGAGTTGCCAGTTTGTGCATGACGGTTGATTGTCCTCCCGGGCACAAACTGTTGCGTTGCATTCGCGAAAATACCCTGCGCTTGCCAGTCGGCGCGATTTTGTTTCGGACAATGCTCGATGGAAAAGATCCTACAATTATCCAGGCGGTCCCAGATGCACAAACATTCCGATATTGGCTGTTATTTTCACGCAGGGGGAGAGGTTCCACGAGTTCAAGAAAGACCACTTCTACCAGATCCAGTGGCGCCCTCGGCCAGCCTCCCTGCTTACCTCAGCCGAGAAGAAGAAGGTCGTCAAGAATCTGCGGAAGGTAAGTTGTTTCGTCCATTTTCCCGCATGTATGAATGACCCCGTTGTAGACTGCCAACTTACATGATTGTCTCTGACGATCCCAATCTAATGGAATTCTATAACCCTGGCTTTACCATTTAGTTGAATGACACACCGGTATCCTCCCTCCTCCTCGCTTATTGCGATGGCAGTACGATAAGCGATTCGAAAAGGACGACAGGGAGAAGGACCGCCGGAAGGCCCGGGAGGCCATGGCAGACAAGATACAGATGAAGCTCGAGTTCCGGCAACAGGCAAGCGGGCTGTCACGCGTGATACAACTTTGCACGTTTCGGAGACTTCAGTCATGCCTTCATGAACAACCCTACGGTAGTTTTTTGAACGACAATGTCCCTTCGAAATGTGCATGTGCCTCGCGCGTAATACCTCTCCTTCGTTGGATTGCCCTATGCTTTGCAGGTAGCGGACATGAAACTCCGGCTAGAGGCCCGCAGACAGGAGCTCGTGGACCTTCGAAACGGATACGACTCGGACGATGAGTCACACTACGTCGTGGACAGTCGGACGGGGGAAGTAGTATTGAGCGTGAAGGAAGTCATCCAGTAAGAGACGGAGGCTCAAGAGAGGGTGGCCTCGTTTGTATGGACAAACTCATCAGTCCCAAGATAAGCTGGACGGACGTCGTTCAAATAATGCGTTCGACAAGTCGTGTTAGCTACGGTAACTTGAAGTCCTTTTGAGTACGTGCTTGCCAGGTCGGCGATCTTGAAGTTGAGGTGTATGCAGATGTCTCCCAGTAGTCGGACTAAACTGTTTTTCTCGCCGTGACGGAAATTACCTTTTCATTTGATCTTGCAGTTGTTACTCTGGCAACGAGGTACATGACGTAGCTCTTGGGTAGAGGACGTGCGTGAGGTTGATGTCGAAGTGGCACTGGAAGTTTCGACGATATAGTTGCGCCCGAATGTCTTACAACGGGCGCCTCGACTCTTTGGAAGTTACTGAGCGACTCGAAAAAATGGAGTATCATTGGAACCAAATCCCAAGGATTCAGGAGAGCGTACCCCCACATGTATGTGTACGGGGAAAAGCGGGGAAACGAACGGTCTTCTTTCAGTGATAACGGAGACATCGCGACCTCTCCCGGAGAGTACTTCCCCACACACAATTAAATCATACTCTTCGCACAATGGTAAAGGATGCCCACGAGTGAGTTCTGTTTTCGTGCCGCCCAACAAACGTGACATTGCTTTTTTTCTGTGGTCAGCGAGCTCCGTAGTAAGCGAGTTGGCACGAAATGAAAAGATTTGTGCATACGAGTAGGTACATTTTATCTGACGTATCCTACTTGAGTCCTCACGGGGGTGGTTTTGATTGCGGGGATGCGCTGATCCCAGGAAAACGGGTTGTGCATGTACGAGTGAGTGCCTCGCGGCAGGGTTAACGTATCGAAGGACAAAGAGAGTGCTTGAAAGTACTCGCTTCGAAATGTGTAACCGGGGCGCCGAGCAATCTGTGCTCTCTTGCATAATATTGCACGAGGGTGCGCCTGAAACAACACATCTGTGACCGAGCGTTCTGTTTGGATCGATATGCTCTGAACGCCGAGTTGGCACCAGGTGTGTGTGTGCGCGAGAAGAACGAAAATAGATACGCGCGGGGTCCCCATAAATACTACTGTCTTCCCTTTGTATGGTACAAACTTGACTGCAAAATACAGCAAAGTGAGTTGCGGTTAGGAGAGGGGATGAAGAGGGCGGTCGATCGGTCTCTTGGCAGGAAGAGTTCACATTCTAAAGTCATTTTCATGGGATATGTTTACATGCATACTCGCGTACACAAGAGATGGGGGGGAGTACCAAACACACAAGAGGCGGCTCATTTTAGTAGTTTTGGGGGCTACCCCGTCGATCCTGTTTCTTCGTCTCTCTCTCTCTTGCTACATGATCGGCGATACGCCATGCGGTCTCATCTGGAAGAAGAGTAGTCTACACGCGCGTGGCTTCGCTGAAACTACATTGGATGAACTCCGTACTTGCTGTACAATTCTAAGGAAAAATAAATACAAACACACAGAAAGACTAGCCATTCGAGATATACCCACAGTCGAACGGGATGTGGAACGACAAGTCATTGAATGACGCCCACTCTACACTCTGTGTGATGCATCGTACGTCCGCATACTTGTACATTGAATCCAAAAGTACGATATCGGGGGATACTCAACTGGTAAAACCCACCACCCGCCAACCAATTTTTTGTAAAACATGTCAATCTGATCTGTCATCTCAAACGGCCTGCACATTGCACCTTGCTTACCGAGAGCCGGGAAGGGTAATACCGATAGCTTCCAAGTGACGAACAATCATCATGGGAGAGCAATATCTTCTACTCGACATTCTGGAAGAGGATGTCCTAGTTCAAGACGTCAAGAGTTGGTTGGACGACGCGTTCCAGGTATCTGTGGGCGTCTAAGGTGGTTTCCTCTTCGATGTGAACTTGTGACCTCGTGATGAACTGCGGGTGATGGCACAATCGTTGGCACATGTGACATGTGCTTGACCCTGTGATCCTGGATACAACACATTACAAATGGTGCATTGCTGCAGGGCGCTCATGAGGCTGCGAATGAGGCGAAGTCGTCAAAATTCAAACAGTACGATGCGCTGACCTTCGTGGTGACTGTCCTTAATTTCCTTCGTGAGGATGCCGCTCCGCTGCTCGCGCCAAGCGTTGAGCGTTCTCAACAGGGGGCTGACCATTCGTTACCAGCGTCTGCAGTGGAGGAAGGCGCATCAGGTAAGTGGGCCACCGATCTCTGCAGCTATTGGTGGTGATGGATGCAGCAGTAGAATATGTACATAATCTATTGGTGGGGTGATAGATACCTGGTACATGCAACATACACAAGCATGTGTAAGCAAAAGGTTGGTTGTTGACAGAACACTGCCATAACGCGGAGACATGCCAACTCAGAGGTTTACCGCAGCGCTCGATCGCGTGAACCAGCTTGGCTTACCGGACGCCCCTGGGAAGAAGTAGCGAGTGGCGCGTGAACTCTCGAACCAATCTCCTGTGTCGAATCTCGTTCGTGTCTGTTCTGTGTGAGCAGATGTCCCCAAGAATGAGAAGAATGAGAGTCAGCAAGGCCTTCTCCCGACAACGGCGTTCGACATCTCGTCGGCAGATGACTTCCCTGCCCTTCCAATGGGTGAAGTCCCTCGCGGTATGCGTCCGGTGAGATTGCTTCGTGATGTGCATGCCACCGTGAGGGAACATATAATCACTGCACTGCTGGGGGTTTGTTTTCGTTCCGGCCCAACGCCGACGGACCCCCTTCCGTCAACCGGGCGAGAAGCACAGCAGCATCAAATTCTTAGAACCAACCGTTTGGCGAGCGGCAGCCACAGAGGATAAAACGCTACAATGGAGGACCGTTTTTGGCACATGAAACAAGCTGTGTCCCAGAACTCTGTCTCACTATGTTCTGTACAGTAGATACATATGGGATGGGTGTGTTTTGTCTTGCTTTTTGGTTACATTCTATTTTCAGTGTTGGGGACACAAAACCTGTATTTTTGTTTGGATTCACTTCAAATCAGCGCTCACAGCACTTGTGCCGGTTACTCCGACCAGTGGTCACACTGAAGGGTTCCCCACCCTGAGGTTCCCTACCCACCCCTCCTGCGGTGCTTTGCCTTCGATGTTTAATGCGAGAAGATTGCAGCACTCTCCTCCCGCTGTGTACACACGAACTACTGCAGCGCTTCCCACCCAAGCCACAGGAACGGAAGCGAGAGAAGTCTCACCTTGCAAGAAAGCTCGCTTAGGCCGGGATGCGAACCCCTGACCCTGACCACTAGACGGTTTTCGAGGACACCAACTAGACTACCGGACCGACCGGTGTATGTTCAAGTATGTGGCAACTTTTTATGTAAATCCACGGGTGGCCCGCATGCGTTTCCTTTTTCTGGGGAGAAAAACACAGGCTAAGGCAGATTCTAACACAACAACCCACGGCGACATGAGGCACAGACCTACAGCAGATGGACTTTAACCTATAACGCGGTAATCTAGTGTTTGTAAGTGAGTCACAAGGGCCCGAGTGTTTCGTTTTTCTCGCCCGGTCAACACATCACCAGACCAACAGACACTGAAGAGAGAGAGCAGAAGCAGGGGTTGCCGAGACCGTCTTGTTTGCGCAGCAACCTTCTGTTTTTCTTGTCCGTTGAACGCGTTCCAGTTGGCTCGGGCTGTTACGCACTTCTTTTCCCGTTTGTTTTCCCGCCACTCTGCCTCCATGCAGGGGCTTCTCTGCTTACGCGCAAGAGAACTTAGGGCCAAATCTTAATTCGAGCGAAGTGAGATTTTCTAATCTGGCCTGAGGTCTCAGCGCAATATGGCGCTCCATAAAGAAACAAGTGTCTGCGCGTGTCTGTTCGCTTTGTCTAGGTTTTAGACTACACCTTGATTTTAAAGGGGGGTCAGCAGACCGCCCTTGACCACACAGCAGAGTGTACCTATTGCATCTGCACAGCAGACAACACACGCACAGCGGGCAGAGCGACACACTCACAGCGGGCAGAGCGGGTACAGCGAGCGACAACATACGGCGGCCAGCGAAATAGAGGGTGTAGCTGTTGTGAACTAACTCATGGCAATTGAATGAGTAGGCGTCCGTTGCGGTCGATCGACCCGAACTCCCTCCGTGAAGTAGAAGCGCACACAGACTCCCGGCGCAGACAAAGCCGCGGGGAGAGGGAGTCCCTAGACAGCCCACAGCTTGACAGGGCGAGTGCTGCTGCTCGTCAGAGGACTGCCGCCAGGCGTGCGAGGAAGACCGATGGAGCACTGTCAGAAAGGTGCGTTGGTGCGTGTGTGTGGGCGATTGCCCGATTGCCGCAGAATTGAAATACATAACGGCCCCTTGTTCGTCCTCTTCCGCACGCACACAGCACACACAGAATAAGTCGTGCGCACGGCAGGGTACCAAAGGCATGAACCTGGACGGGCACGAGCGATCACATAGCATAGGGCACAAGCCCAGTGAATCCTTTCTCTACCCTCTCTCTCTCACACACACAGGCTGCGGGCGGACCGGTAGAGAGCCACCGCTAGGCAACAGCGTAGGCAGCCACCAACACCAGAACAGCGGACGGCTATCCGAGAGAGGCTCCGAGGCGCCAGCAGCAGACACCACAGCAGCTGGCGGCTAACCGTGAAAGAGACGCTGCGAGGCGCCGGCGGGAGACACAACAAGGGGCAGAGGCCAGATTGCACAACAAAGTCAACTACAAAAAAAAAACGGCTCATGTCTTGCGATCACACACACTTCCTTTCGTGGACGCACACGTCTGACGACAGTTAGTTACATCTATCAGCTGTCGCTCGTTGTAGCGACGGCTACTGCTGTGTCTTTCGTTCATACAAAGTCAAGTCAAGCGCTTGATACATGGATATGTCTGGTTACCACGGGTTTGTGCAAGCTTCGTGGACCCTGCGATGATTATCGGGCTGCGCGATTGCCACGATTCATGAATGCCTCAGGAGAAATTTCTTAGGTGCCAAATACGAGGGGTGTTGCAAGGTGTACGGAGAAAAATGAAATTATGAATTGCGTGTTGGTTGTGTCACTACGGTTGTTGTCTTCACCTTGAAAACTGTTTCGGGCTATGCTCAGTTCCTTCTAACATCCATACCAGGTCCAACGGACGCGGACGCCTTGGTCAGAGACCAACTACCCAAAAAGGGCGCAGAATTATGGAAATCAAAGAACAGCAAAAAAATTAGACCCACAGAACTCTCTAACGCGATAGAATGATCACAAAAGCTGACCGGGAGACAAGCGAACCCGGAAAAAGCGAGGAATAGAAACTATTTAGACAAAGGATCAAGGTGAGTAGATTCGATGTGTGTGCTAAGGTATCAATCATCCCGACAGGAGGCTTCACCAACGCCACGTTCTCCTGTATCGACATATGTATGTTCTACTACCGTAGCATGTTTCTCTCGTGACCGCCAAGAGCGACGTGGCGGCGAGTCTTGGTGTTTGTATCAAGGCCCGTTGGGTTGTCGGCTCGAGTAGATACAAGCAAGACGACACGTTACTTTGTTGGCAGGAGAGCCAAATGCACCGAGTCTGGCCGCAAGCGTTGAGCGACGACTCTCCGCACACGGAAGGAAGGTTTCATCGTCGGGTTACGTTTGCTTCGGAGAAAATAGTACAAGCAAATCAGTTTCAAATGTCCGGCGAATCGGTCGAAAACTGCTCTAAACCGGCCGACAGCCGCTGGATTGCAGATGAAAATACCGATATGACTCTAATGTTTGTTTAACTGTACGTGTTCCGGATAGCAGCTACGATTTGGCATGTGTGCTCTACATGATTCAATCACTTTCACCACCCCGCCTTGCGACACTTGGGCAGGCAAACAAGCAAAAAAGGCGCATTCGACCAACACCCTTGAGCAACGCCGACAAGCCCCTGGAGGTAAGAGAAATGTCCACATGAGAAACATACAGAGATGGTCTGAAGCTTCTTCTTTGCGCAGTACCCAATATGGGATTGGTTGACTTGGGAATATGGTTGCGATCGGGCTGAGGTCTTTGGGACCGGAAGTGATTCCTCCTGCACTGAAGATGGTTTACGATTGGTTATCGCGAACGACCGGCAACGGTACTTTCTTCGCCCCTGCTTGATTTTGGTCATGTGCCGTATTTGGTGCGCAAAAGTCGAAACTCTTTTTTGTCTGGGAGTTGAACAAAGTTCCATTTCCAGTGCCTGTGTTAATCCGGATTGGGCTACAAGTTGTCGGATGCACGCGAGGTTACACTTGACTGCAGCCGCTTTTTGCGCAACGTGGTGAGACGAACTGGTGGCTGAAATGCAATACTTGTTCGTTGAGCGTATTGTTTCTTGAACCCATGTGCGCTCACGTTGGCTCGTTGCCACGCCTGAGCCGAGCTCAACCACCCTCTCGCAATTTAGTTGGAGTCTAATCGTTGGCGAATATGGCGTTCTCGAACCCCTACAGCGGTAGTGATCTTGGGCCCAGCGGGTTGGTGTTGGCCAACTGCAACGAACGGTGTCGGAAAGCGAAGTTCACCACAGCAGTTTTCTTCTTACCAGCTCTCACTCTTGCTGTTGGCATGAGTATACGGTGGTTCTGGCTCGTGCGTGCTGCAGGGAGACATCACCGCATTGGGTGCTCTAAATACTGCAGCGCCTTCATTCGACAAGTCAGGCGAGGTTGCAAATGCCCGCCTAACATTTCGTGCGCAAGGCGTACGACCATCGGTTGAAACGGCGGAGTTTCGACCGAGTACGAGCTGTAAGGAAGAGAAGGCGGAAGCAAAGGTCGTGCATAAGCCAAGTGACTTTCTGCCGGGAGGTACAAAGCCGCGCGCTGATCTGGCGATCGAGCAACATGATGCTGAAGGTGAGACATTCGTGTGGAAGACCTCTTGTGCCTTGACGATAGCGTGCACGAGGTTTCTCCCTTTGCTGGACTGGTCCAGGTACTAGCGCAGCTTGCTTATTATGTTATTGCGTTCTTGCTTATATCCTCGATCATTTTTGTGGAAATCCATACCCCACGGATAAAGAGTGAAATGCGACCTTCCTCCGCGCAAGGTTTCGGTGAAAATGAGCGAGGGATCACAAATCTTCGGGAGGCAACATCTGGTTCTTTGCTGGAGCCGGCTCATCCGGAACAACGAAGGTTTCTGGAGCAAGGTGGTGCGGTTGGAGTACCCTCCAGAATTTCAATCGAGCCGATGACTGGTGAAACCGAAAGAGCGGGGAGACGTGCAGATGGAGCCCGTACCGAGCATAGCCTCTTCCCCGTAAGCACCGCCGCATCGAACCCCATGCTATCGCCTTCAAACGGTGCGGCGAAAACCAATTCTGTGTTGCAGACTCCGACAAGGTCAGCCAAGGCTGTTCCCATATCGCCATCTGGTGGTGGAGGTGCTTCCCGGGGCGGTTGCGCTCCACCGATGCCACCAGTCAATACGTCAACACCATTCGCAACTCCTGTTGAAAAGGTGCGACACCCTGATATGAATGGGCACCAGTCCGCGAATTTTGATATCATCATGGGGGGTGCCACTCGTGGTTATGTTTTTCACTCCAAGCGTCTAAGGTGATTTGCCATGAATAGCTCGTCGGGCTTGGGTGACGTTGTCGTTTATCAGTGGATGCTGATCTGAAAGCAAATTCTAACATATGACTGTGATCTTCATTGGTTTGGTTTTAACTGTCCGACGCAGGGACGCCTGCGGGGAAGTGAGCAGCCCCTCGCCATCTTGGCATCGCTATACGTGCACATCATGATCCGAAGATTTGTGCCAAGTCTGGCAACGGAGATGCACCTTACAATACGGCTATTGCACGTGCACTCGGAGGTTACACGTAGCGGGGGCGATAGAACCTTGAAGTTGGAGCAGGACCGTCGGGAGGATCATCCACCAAGCGGCAGCTCCGCAATTAGCTCAAAGGAAATCAGAGATTACCAACATGGAACGAGTCAGGCCAGGATGAAGATCATCTTCAAGACCGGCCTGGACTGTCGGTTATTCGCTGCTGGTGTCCTCCTTGGGCTCAAGTCTCTGCTTCCTCACATTGGAACGGACACGATCGACCTCTTGGCTGGAAGTTTGGCCCTTGCTTCTCAGGTTTACATTGCGTCTTTCGTGCAGTTTATGGAATATCGGGAGATTTGAATTGCTGCACTCGAAATTGTGCTATCAGCACTGCTTGGAATTGTGTTCGACTGGTGCTGTGGACCTCACACCCTTTTGGGTGCTTGTTTACGAATCGTTGAGTCATGACATGTGCCCACTTAATGTACTTGTACCCCTGTTCGGTTGCACTGTTCTTGTCGTTTTGGCCAGTCGGAGGAGCTCATCGAAGACTTGCGTCATGTTCTCTGTGAAGCTAAAGGCGACGGTGTCAACTCTGACGGCAATGGGTCACGAAATGTTGGGCAGCAAAATGCCGATGATACGGCCATCGTGCAGAGTGTAGGGGCACCGTTTGCTGCTCTCCAATGGCGGGAGGAAGACTCGATAAAGAATTGGAGGTGTGGAGATTTCGAATGAGGGTTGTGGTGTACCCACTAATTACTTTTCGGTCCGACCTTGTTCTTCGAGTAGCCCCAATTGAGAGCTCACATTCCCACGTGAGCCTTTGGTTTTCTGAAACTGTCGATCGACCGCAATTTCCTTGACTCAACTAACCTAGGACAATATCTGACCGAAGCATGTTCCAGAATCGCCAGGAGAGTGTCGACCGGTTTGGAGCCTTGCTTCGCGACTACCAGGGTTCCAAGAAGGGGCTTCAGCAATACCCGGATCGCGCTCTGCAAGATCTAAGGTGCTGGGGTGGTTTCTCCATTTCTCACCAGCGATGAGGCGTTTGTCGCTTTGCTTCGATGGCAAGGGTGCAGGAAGCAGGGGGTGCTTTCACCCAGCGTGTTCTTTCAATCCTGATCAGGCATTGCTTGCCCCTGATAAATGTTGACCTATGCGTAGTCGCTTTCAACTATGATGTCGTTCTTCTTTTCTGCCGGTGCGATCCTGTGGAGTAGAACAGCGGCATCTGCTTTGATAAGCGGTCTAGCCCCGGAAAATTTGGGATGGCTTGCTCAATACTTTCTGGATCAGCTGGTCGGGTGGGGTCTTGCTCCTCCAGAGGAAACTGACTCCGAAGTAATGGCGCTGGTCGCTCCCGCTGGGGACAAGGGCCGTGAGACTCTGCAGAAGCTTCATCGCCGCATCAGCACACCTAGCTCCGGCGAGGTACGCGGACAAAATGAAGACTCTGCGGCAGTATAGCGAAGCCTATTCGGCAGTGTGTGTCGTGTAGAGAAGCTAGTCACGAACATGTCGAGTACGGTCCAATCCAGATTTTTTTTGCGCTCTCGTTGCGTCCGGCGTGGTGGTGGTTTCTCGTTCTCGAGTTGCACACGGCTGCGCCTCCCGTGAAGCGCACATAGTGTCTGCTTGAGCGAACCCACCGTAACTTAGTTGATTCGAAAAGAATAATTAAACGTACACGTTATCCTGCACATATCCACTATCGGACGACCATGCCCTTAGATGTTTGCTTGCAACTGTCGTGACTATTCGCTAGGCATGGTTATCGCCAGAAAAAAATATCGAAACCTTGGCGGTACTGACCAAGTTCGTAGCCCTTTCATACGTTTCTATATCTCGATTCCTCCAGGTGTCCTCACCAAGAAACGCTGCAGCGTTTGGAGAATGGTTCAGCATTTTACGCACGTCTACAGTAGTTTTCCCTTTGCATCATGCACAGTTTTTGCTGTGTTTTCCTGCCGCCATAAACACAACTGACAGGATGGCAACGCTTTGAAGAGTAGTCAGAAACTTCGGCATCCTGGGACACAACCTCGGCAAACACACGCTAAACAAGATCGAGGCTCTCACGTTGTCGGAGAAATCCGTACAGCCAGGGGAGGAGTGCGACAACCACAGACCCGCAAATCTAGCACGGGCCCACGGTATGGCAAGGGTCAAGCACCAGCACAAAGCACACGGGTTCCTACGGCCCCATTGCAGCTCCGCTGGTTCCCCGGCAACCAGGTGGGATGACTTGATAACAATCAATGCATATGATCATGGGGTGCACATACTGGTTCAACCTCGCTTTGTGCTTCATCATGGACACGCGCGCACCTGTGTCTCTTTTGACCTTTGTCCACCGAGATGCCCGTAATGTAACAACCTCAGTGCCTTGCATGCTTGTGGGGCGCAACAGGAATTTTTCTACCACGTGCTGCTGGTGTTAGATAGTTACACCTTTAATAGCCACTTGAAGGCAGAACTTGTGGCAAGGATTGCTGGACTTTATCAGCAACTACACACCTTCAAGGGAAGGGGAAAGGGAGTCGGAAACGTCGACGAACGTGGCGCGGCGAGCGACACGAGCAACCCAGCAGTCAACAAGGGCGTCAGAGGGTTCACGGGGACCATGGTAAAATTGAAGGTGCGCCGAACGTAAATGAAGTATGAAAGGCTACGCCAGCTACGACACGATGAGACCCTGTTTGCGGATAATCCTTGCTGTGGGCATCCTAGGTCATCCGCATTCGACATGGCATTCGTGCTTTCACATTTTTTTTTTTTCTCCCATCATTGCACTCTGTCGTCTGCCCCTCTGGCCCCTATCCTCCACTTCTACTAGCTAGACGACCCAACCGGGGTCACATAGGAGGGGGGGGCTGGACCCCCTCCTGCGGTTCATTGTACCGTACTGGTTCAGGCCCGGAATGTGTGCAGCACACAGTATGTTGACGAACCCGCAGAAGATCCTGCCTCAACCAATGCCAGATTGTTGGTCGGCGTGGATATCGAAGTCCCGCAATTTGTTTGACTCAATAAGTATCTTTTATCACATTTAACCACATTAATGGGTGTTTCTTTTCACAGGTGCTCGCGAAGTTTCTCGGCCTCTTGACCTTTAGTCCCAACTGGGGCATTTCAGCCTTAGACTCGGCGTCAAGTAGGCACGAGCCTCCTTTGGCATCCACGAATGACCAGGTACGACTCGAAAAGGGGGTCGCGTTCGTTTTAAAGGGCAAGTTTCGAGCAGTGCTCGAAGTGCCTGCCATAGTAGGCTGCACCTCCAAGACGTCGGACAGGAGCTTGAGGTGGCCATGTTGACCACAAGACAACAGCTGTGAAAGGCCACGTTTCATTCAAGCGTGGGGCGGCCGATGCGCCATGCCAATGGGCATCCCGGAGACCCGTTCCACGCAGTGCATGAGAATGATCTTGCCTCTTCTTTATTTTGTTGGTTTGTACCTGGGTGCACAGGCCCAAATGACAGGCTGTCCGCTGCCCCTGGAAGCGTACCTTGACCACGCTTGGTCGACGGCTGGACTTATGGGTGCTGTGCCATGGATGGCGGACTTTCTGCGGATGATGAAATGGGATGAAATTTCTGCACAGGTGACTACGAGCATCTGCTAAGCTTGTCAGGCGATTGCCACTTGTTCCCCTGCTCTGCGTTTCCCCTTGATTTTGAGTTTACGGCGGGTGCGCATGTACCAATCCTTTTTTGTTGCTTTTGCAGTCTCGCATCGGTCGGTGACTACTCGGTCGACATTGTTGGCTCGTTTCCTCACTTACCTAGATGCAGCTTTTCGAGTTCGGGACGATGTCTACTACGCAGTTAAAATGGGTGGATACTGGGAAACGATCACATTGTCCGATATTTGTCTTGCACGATGCAGGCCAACTCCTATCGACGTATCCTGGGCACTTTGGCGAAGCTCCACGCTCAGCCATTCATGCAGCCTGACCATCCTGCTTTCACGGAGTCCCTACTTGCCGTGAGCTGCGAGGTGATGGAACTCCGATCGTGCGCCCGACAAGCTGATGGATCGCTTTCACCATGCTACTACACCTGCCTGTGCTTTTTTGCTTGATGAGCTTCTTTGTCATATATTGAGGTTTCAAGAAAACCATTGGCGAATGCATTCGGCCAGGGTGACGTGCGTTTGCAGAACTCGCTGTTTATTATTGGTAAGGAGCGTGAACGATGAATGGCTTTCTTCTAAGCTCCTGACGATACCCCCGTGTCACGGTGTCATCTCGATATGAACCGACTCTGCCCCAGGGACCAGATCCTGAACGCTTTATGTCTTTGCCTTGCGTTTTTTCTCTCAGGTCGAGAGTCTGTTCCAAGATTTGGGTTCTGATCTTGGTGTGCACGGGTATCGCCTGTTTCCGCCAGAAACTACTACCGTCATCGACTTTGATGCCCCGAGAAATTGCGGCAACCAATACACGAAGCTTCGCGATAAGCAATACGCGAAACTGGGACTGAAGCCTGCACCTGGATCGTTAGATGGTGAAGTGGTGCTGAGCCGCCGCCTCATACAGCACTGCTGCCCTTACCTGGAAGATGTCCTGACCTTGACAAGAAACCTTGGTCGGGGGTGGAAGCAAGGTTTCGTTGTCGGAGGAAACACCACCCCGCTCCGGGCGGGTCAGTCTCCACGAACGTTTGGGGTGAGCGGCATTAGTCCCCGCAGTAGACGGGTCATCAAGCCGCATTCGTTGAAACCGATACGCGCGCTGTCGAGCCTCCCTGAGCAGATACATCGTGGACGCTCGGATGAAAACGCTGGAACAGCCCGAGAAAACGCTCACACCGAGAGTGCCCGCCTTCGATTGGTGGAGGCTTTTTTTCACTCTCTGCCGGGCGAGTTGCAGGCATCCGCTGATTTTGTCGTTAGTCGCTCTGTGCAAAATGCGTGCGAGGAGGTCTTGGTGTCGGTCGTTAGGCCCGCGGTGGCTGGTGCAGTCAGGCGACTTCAAGTGGCCATCAACCAGACCGATAGGCTGGACTACGAACGGCCCGCATCCAACGTAGCAGGCGAAGGACTTATTAGGCAGCACCTTGACCTGCAAATTGCTTGGACAACAGCTGTTCTTGGTGAGGGCCTCGCTTCCAACGCCAGGGCTCTTGCTGGAAAACGGGGCAACGCTATCGCCAAAGCTACCACGTTAGCGCTTGTTCCGCGTTCGCTCTCACTCAGGTAACGCAAGCTCTGCATTGGTGCTGGCGTTTTTATGCGGTGCGAAGTTCCGGTAGAGGTTCGCAATTTCCTCGTTGCAATCTGGTGTGATATCTGTTGTTGCCCAATCCAGCACGATAGTTATCCACCACAGTTCCTAAGTCAGACGTGTATAGGCACCACCCATTTGCCGAGATAGGTGGAAAGGTCTGAGCCTGTTGCTGATCTAACCCTACGTTTTGCTTGATTGCCGTTGTCGGAACGGACCATGAAAGCTTCACACGATGCTCTTGTTGAATGTGGCAGGGTTCGTCAGACGGCGGCGACGATCGCTGGTAACCACGCACAGCAAGCAGCTGCCAGCAAAATCGAGGAGCTGATGACTGCTACGGTGACGCTTCGTTGTTTGTACCGAGCAAAATGCGTTTGCAGTGGGTAGGTACATACCTGTCTAGGGTTGTGAGGGTGGCGGTGTCCTTGACTACCCGGCAATCGTTCAGCCCGCGTTCACGCCTATCTATTGAGTAAGTGCACTTGGTCGCGATCCAGTTCTGGCGTCATCTGACGGCGGTCTGTTCTCCCCCCATGATGCGTTTCCATGCAGGTTGTGGAGGCGGTGGGTGCGTATCACACGTATCACAACGACCTTGAACGGGCTCAGAAGGAGCAATCGACAGGTGGTGTGGAATGCCGGAGCCCCAAAAGCCCGGAGGTACTCGCAAGCCTGCTTCCTAGAGGTCCAGCATCTGATCTATGTGCTATTGCATCGAAGCTATGTGCTACTGCATCGAAGCAATGTGCTCATGTCGACAAGTGCTCATGTCAAGGGTTTCTAGAAGCGGTGCACCGCGTGTCCATCAGCAGCACCGACGACGATATCGAGTCAAACGACCCAAAAACCATCATCAGCGAGACGTGGCATCTGGTGGACGCGGTTCGACGGTGTCAAGATTTCAGTCGTATCCCAGAAACCATCCACGACACCCACGATGTGTCTGAGGAACTCGAGAGGACGCCGGCGCAAAGGTTTCGTGATCATGTGACACAGGATCCAAACGTCCTGGAAACCTTTCTGGCTTCGCTGGCACTCTTCTACCGGACATTGCCTGACTGCATTTGGCGATCAATTCCGAAGAGCTCCACGCTGGGCTCCATGTCAAGCGACGTTGTTGGAAATCTGGTTCACCTTGCTGCAAGGGCATGGGAACAAAACGCGAGATATTGGCGGAAGGACAAGGATCCCGGCCAAGAACGTTGCCTCCGTTTCCCCCCGTGCGAGCCTGTACTACAGCTCATGTCGTGGGGCGCTATTTCTGTTGTCACTGCGGAAAATGTCCTTCTGTCGTGTGTACAAACCGCGACTAGGGGATCGACTTCGCAAACAAGTGTGATGTGTCCTGAAGCACGTTGGAATGAGACGAGCCCGTCATCTGTGATAGCCGTGGCCACGGCTGTTGTGAAGGGCTACCATAGCCTTGCTCTCGACAAGGATTTGTGGACGGTATTACTCGACGATCTTTTGGACGTTACGGCAGGCTCGGTACCTGCCATGGACCTTTCCAAGCCCTTCCGCTACCACCCGATGGACCTTTGCCGGCTTATTGCTCGTCTGTGCCGAACGTAGGAAGAACGATAGCTGGTACATTATGTAGTTTATAAGCTTTTCTCGTTGAATTTTCAGTTCACACATCGCTTGTTGGTTAACCACGGCGTTTATGATGCCTACGTTCAATCATAGGGAGGCTTTAACCCATCGCCACACACGATCTAGCCTGTCTTGCTCTCAACGGAGATTCATAGCCCCGTCGTACGCAATAGCGGAGTTGATTGGCTGCTGAGGCCATCGGCACACCAGAGTCGCGTGCAGTGCATTTGTCGATAGTTGGGTTGGATAGAAGAAGGAGCAGCGCCTAGACAACGAAGATGTAGACGACGAGTAACGCACTTTTCCCGCACCAGCTTCTTCAATAATTTCTCTACGAGACCGTTCTGTCTCTAGAGTAGGGCCTCTAACTAGAGGTCCCACAGAACAGAAAAAAATGTGGATGAATGAATGCTGATCACCTTTACCCGAAGCTCCGAACCACGCATGCTTTTGAGCCGAACGCCCGAGGCGCGGGGAACGAGACCATCGGCGCTTGCACTACTTACGACGGACGTCCTCAGCAAGTTTCAGCTTGATTGGTGCCTCCTCCTGCATCAACGTCTTGCTGTGTCGGTGACCGGCCTTCACAACAAAAAGGAAAGACGAGACTGAGGCAGGTGCTTCCGGCACTACATTGTTCCGATCTCGATGAACTTGTGCCTGTTGCCTATCCTCCACCAAAATGAAGCCCCGTCCAGTCTACAGGTGGATGGACAACCCCTGCGACTCTGGAATGGCTGCGTGTTACCATTTTTCCCTGCCAACAAAGGTTCGGGCCACACCGCTGCACCCTCTCGACGCGGAAGTATGTTCCGCCGCATTTCGCACGCACATCAATGGCAAGTTGATCGTGATTGATGATTCCATGACTCTTTTCCTCGACCACATCCATCCATCGATGCATCCATTGTAAAATAACCCCGATCTCGACCAATTTGTGTTCGTAAGTTGTCTACCTACCATCAAACACTATCTACAACGGGACGACATACCCACTTCGAGGCCGGAATTGACTTACCAACAAGGTCGGGGCACACCTACTACTCGCCCTGCGGAGGTTGCCTACTGACTACACAAGACCCGGTGATACATTTTTGGCTATAAAAATGTTATCACCGGGTGTGGTATCCTGTGGGGGGTGTGGCATCTTATGTAGCCCGGGTGATAAAGTGCAGCTCGCAGGGGTCCTTGAAGGGGGGGGGGGGG